GCTGGGGCAATCCCAAGCACAAATGATGAGAATGAATTAAGAACAGCCTTAAGAAGGATTTGGGGTTGTTGGTGAATGAGAAGCTCAGCACAAGCTGACAAAGTGTGTTTGCAGCCCAGAAAGCCAACCATATCCTGGGCTGCATCAAAAGCAGTGTGGCCAGCAGGGTGAGGGAGGGGATTCTCCCCCTATGATGCTATTTACTTCCAGTGAGGTCCACACATGCAGATCCTAGTAGAGGGGCCCAAGATGTATCTAAATATACCAAACATAACCTGATTTTATGTACTTCATACTGACTTAGTTAAAACGTTCATTTACAGCTGCTGTGTACTTCTTGTTAATGTAACAAGCTCTCTGTCTCCATTTTCATTCAGCCATGAGGCATATTGCTGATCTCTACCTGGACACTGAGCCATTGGCCACAGTTCATTGAGTACAATCAACCAGCCAATTCCTTAACCACTGAGTGGTCCATCCACCAAATGTATGTCTTTCCAATTTAGAGACTAGGATCTAAGAGGACACCATCAAATGCTTTGCACAAATCCAGGTAGATGTGGTTTAACTCTGTGTTTTAACTCTGTGCCCACCACTAACTGATGTGGTGGGCAGCCAGCCTCCACCACAACTGCTATCTCACTACCCATCCTCAAAGAGAAAGGGGAAGAAAATACAATGAAAAGGGCTCAAGGGTTGAGATAAGGACAGGGAGATCACTCAAGAGTTACTGTCTTAAGCAAAACAGACTCAGCATAGGGAGATGAATGCAACTTACTGCCTATCACTAGCAAATCAGAACAGATAGAAACTAAAGGCAAACTAAAACCACCTTTTTACTCTCATCAGCCCTATTCTATGTCCTTCCCCCAAGCTGCGCAGGGGAATGGGAAATGAGGGCAGCGTGGAGATCTGCTCCATGTGGGACCCATGGGCTGCAGGGGGACAGCCTGCTCCACTAGGGGCTTCTCCACAGGCCACAGGGGAGCTGCTGCTGCATACTTGGGGCACCTCCTGCCCTCCTTCTGCACTCACCTTGGGTGTCTGCAGGGCTGTTTTTCCCTCCTCACCATCCCAGCTGCTGTTGTGCATTAATTTTTGTTTTGTTTTTTTTTCCCCCTTTTCTTAAATCTACTCTCACAGAAGCACAAACAACATCTCTCACTGACTTGGCTCTGACCACCTGCAGGCCCCTTGTGGAGCTGTTTGAAACCATGCCTTATCTAACATGGGGCAGCTGCTGGACTCTTGTCACAGAGGCCACCCCTACACCTCCCCAGTACCAAAACCTTGCCACATAAACCCAATACAGTAGAAGATGTCAGTTCCTCTTTGCCTGTCCACCAATGCTGTAACTGTTGTAGAAGGCCACCAGCTTTGTCAGGCATGATCTGCCTTCAGTGAAGCCATGCTGACTGTCCTCAGTCACCTCCTTATTTTCCACATGCCTTAGAATAGTTTTCAGGAAGATCTGTTCCATGATCTAGCTAGGCACAGAGGTGAGACTGATTGACCTTTAAATATTTCTAGTGTTAATGTCCTTTTGTTGACATTTAACACCCGTAGTTAGCTAGGCATCACACTGCAGCTCTCACCCTCTTCCTCAGTGAGAGTAGATAATAAAATAGAAGAAAAATTTGAGGTTGGGAAAAAATGTTGGGTTTAAGATAGAAGCAGATCAATGAAAGAATGATCAAGAAAAGCAAGTTCTCATCTCTACTTCCCACTAGCAAGCTTGCTAAGAAGCAGGGCCTCAATACTCATAGTGGTTGCTGCTTTGAAAGACAAACACTTTCATATTAACATCTTTCTCCTTCCGCTTCCCCCCCCCAGCTTTTATTGCTGAGCATGATGCCCTATGGTGCGGAATATCCCTTTGTCAGTATAGGTCAGCTGTCCTCTCACCACCTCTTGCCCACTGCTAGCCTTTTTTTTTTTTTTTTTTTGGGGGGGGGGGGGGGTAGGGTAGAGAGGGGAGGTTGGAAATTGGAGAGAGAGGCTTGATGCTGTGCAACCACTGTTCAGCAATAGCCAAAACATTGGTGCAGTATTAACACTACTCTAGCTAGGAGCGCAAAGCGCTGCTGTAGGGAAAGTTAACTTCATGACAGCCAGACCCTGTACATCTTCAAGGCCAGGCCAGAGTGGAGCCTTGGAAAACCTGATCCAGTATGTTGTATCCCTGACTATGGCAGGGGCTTGGAGTTAGCTGATCTTTAAGGTCCCTTCCAACACAATCATAGAATCATAGAATATCCTGAGTTGGAAGGGACCCTTAAGGATCATCAAGTCCAACTCTTGACACCGCACAGGTCTACCCAAAAGTTCAGACCATGTGACTAAGTGCACAGTCCAATCTCTTCTTAAATTCAGACAGGCTCGGTGCAGTGACCACTTCCCTGGGGAGCCTGTTCCAGTGTGCAACCACCCTCTCTGTGAAGAACCCCCTCCTGATGTCAAGCCTAAATTTCCCCTGCCTCAGCTTAAGCCCGTTCCCGTGGGTCCTGTCACTGGTGTTAATGGAGAAAAGGTCTCCTGCCTCTCGACACCCCCTTACGAGGAAGTTGTAGACTGCGATGAGGTCTCCCCTCAGCCTCCTCTTCTCCAGGCTGAACAGGCCAAGTGCCCTCAGCCGTTCCTCGTACGTCTTCCCCTCCAGGCCTTTCACCATCTTCGTAGCCCTCCTCTGGACACTCTCCAACAGTTTCATGTCCTTTTTATACTGTGGTGCCCAGAACTGCACACAGTACTCGAGGTGAGGCCTCACCAGCACAGAGTAGAGCGGGACAATCACCTCCCTTGACCTACTAGCGATGCCGTGCTTGATGCACCCCAGGACATGGTTGGCCCTCCTGGCTGCCAGGGCACACTGCTGGCTCATATTGAACTTGCTGTCTACCACAACCCCCAGATCCCTCTCTTCTAGGCTGCTCTCCAGCGTCTCATTGCCCAGTCTGTACGTGCAGCCAGGGTTTCCCCGTCCCAGGTGCAGGACCCGGCACTTGCTCTTATTGAACTTTATGCGGTTGGCGATCGCCCAGCTCTCCAACCTATCCAGATCCTTCTGCAAGGCCTTTCCACCCTCAACAGAGTCCACAACTCCTCCAAGTTTGGTGTCATCAGCAAACTTGCTCAAAATGCTTTCTATTCCTACATCCAGATCGTTTATAAAAATATTGAAAAGTACCGGCCCTAAAATGGAGCCTTGAGGGACCCCACTGGTGACTGCCCGCCAGCCTGACACAGCCCCATTCACCATAACCCTTTGGGCCCTGCCCGTTAGCCAATTGCTCACCCATCGTATGATGTTTTTATTTAGCCTATGATCTTTTAATCCCAGATGGTGGTGTATTCCCACAATTTCTATGGGACCCTTTTCAAACTAGATAGAAGTTCATAATCCTCCTCAGATGATGGCATAATGTCATTGTGGTAGCAACTTCCCCATTACCAGGAAATTTCTTCAGGGAGATGGTTGCTTTGAATTTGTGCCATGTCTATGCAAGCATGCTAAATCCATCTACTTTGTTCAAAGGGCGAGTATTTAAAATAAGATGCATTTATCCTGTTGGTCATCATCACAACCTTCTTTATTAATTAGTTTTTCCAACAGAACTTTTTTTCTTGTTCAGATTAAAAAGGTGCCATTTTAAAGGCAACAAACCCTGTTAAACTACGATGCTCTTCAGCATCTCCTGGTAATTCTCATGATTTTCCTGCTTTTGTCTACAGCAATGCTGTAAAGACTATAAACAAAAGCAGGGTGTTCAGATAAAGTCAGAGTTACCACATGTAAACTGAAAATAAAAATTCAGAGCTCAGTATACTCCAGGTGAAATAAGGATTATTTCTTTCCTAAATTCCATGAGTACTACATGCTACTGGACGAGTACTCTATTGGTTAGTTATTATTACGTAGTGCAAGAAATACTAAACATGTACCTAGTCAAAAGTAAATTAGGTGCAGATAGCCCAAAACAAGGAAAAATGAATTAGACAACTCTGCAAAAACATTTTGAAAAGTTACAGACCAAGACAAACCAACAGCAGAGTGAACAACAATATGGGTTTACAAAGAACTGACCTGATAGCTTTCTAACAGGCACCAGCATAAGGAGAGCTTGTCACCACTGTGCCTTATGCTAACACTGGAAACCCTCTGATATTTAGCCAAACAACTCCCTTACCTGGCACAGAACTCTTTTTAAGGAGCGAAAAGTTGGGTGAGGGAGAAGCACCTTTCTGAGTTTAATGAACCGAGTCAGATAGCCTTTCAGACAAATGTATCAGAGCTGAAGCAAGCAACAAGAACTTGTAATCTGCAAAAGGAAAACAAAGCAGGATGACACTAGTCAGTAGCCACAAACTTGAGATAAAATAACTGATTTCATAGAAGAAAAAAAAAAAAGGGCAGAATAGATCTAATCTTGCTGAGTATAATACTTGATATGCAAAATAAGTTCAAGGAAAAATGACACCAGAGCTACCAGGCAGATAACAAACAGGCAAGTGAGAATACAGCAAACATTGCGATTTAGCTCGCTGGGATGGTTTCAAGAACATAGGTAGGTGAAAGGAATATCTTTTCATCACAGCATGCTCTTCAGCACTGTAGCTCTTCAGGCTGTTCTTGTAAGGGTGGTTGTTACTTTGCTTCAAGCATGTCTCCAGGTAACAAGGGAGGAGCTGCTCATAAATACAACTAGCAAACCAGGAAGATGTTCAGCATTTCTCTTGACCAGGACAATGTTTCTGCAGCTGGTCCAGGAGGTAGGGGAAAAAAAGAAAGTGGTCTGTCTGGGAGTCCCTGAGAGAGCCTATTTCTTTTCAAATGTATATGCTAAAGCAAAGGCCTGGACTGGGTAGCTTACTTTTTGTTTGTTTGTTTCTTTTTGAGTGTTGTAAAATGTCTATGCATATCTCTGAAATATCTAGATAAACCAAGTTGAGCCTTTTACCTGAAGAAAACTCACCCTCAAGTTTGGAGTACACTACCATACCCGTTTTATTGATTTATTTATTTTTAATTTAATATACATGCCTATTTTGCAACATGTGATGTTTAATGCATACAATAACAAAAATTTCTGAACAGAGAGTAAGAAAAGTCAAAAAAAGAATTCAGTGAGACTGAGGCCTTTCTCCAAGAAAATTGAATAATATAATCAGGTTTCATAACAGAAAGTCAACTATGACTGTGAGCAAAGTTCTTCCATAACATGATATTTGTTAGCTCATATGGTTCTTGACTGCAGAGAGGAATCCCCTTCTCAGATGATCATCCAGGACTAGAAAGAGATATCAGTGAGACTTTTTACATTGCCCTGTTGATGTTGTACTTGGCACCAGTAACATTACTTCAAAGCAAAGTTCATTTCCTCCTGAGAGCACAAACACATGCCCTACCATGAGTTCAAATGCATTTCAGCCAGTGCTCCTCAGGACATGGAGACCAAGGCTTTAGGGAGGCCCTTTGCCTTTGTTCAGAAGACACAGTCAGAGCACACACATGCATCCAGAATTTCTTCTCTTGAAGAATTAGGAATCTCCATGTACAGTTCAAGAGCTGAGAAGCAACCCAGTAGGTTGGAAGTGACACTGCACAGTGGATAAAAGAGTCAGAAGAAAGTGCTCAGTAACGTTTGCACTGTAGTACAACACAGAACAACAGGTTAAAGATGCCAAATAATTTTGTTTCAAAATAGGTAGCGTATGAATGCTGCACTGAACTTCAGGGCAAAGAAACCGCTTTAGTAAACACATCAATGAAACCTATACTTTCTATGTACCTTATGTTAGGAACATAACTGTATCTCCTTGTCAAGAAGAGACCTGAAAGCAACAGAAAAACAAGGAGAAACATGAAAACGTGGAGATAAACATCAAGGTGATATATGATTACTTGGTTTAAAGGCTAAATCTTTAACTAGAGTTGAGTCAGCAAAGCTCTAGTAAACTAGCCTAAAGAATTTAGCCTTCTGGTTCTCAAAATAAAAGACTGCAATATGAAGCCAGTGTTGTCATAGGCCTGGAAAAAAATTAAATCTGTTGTTGGACTTGGGCCACAGAGTATTATCATAAGCCTAGCAGCACTGTTGGCAAGAAGGTCTAAGGCCTGGAAAGAAAGACCAGCCGGAGAAATATTTAAAAGCCTGTCTACTCACCACACCAAGACTTCATGTTACTACGAACTGATCTCAAACAAGCTACAATGTTTAAGCTGCAAATTGCATTGGATCAAGCTGTTCTGCAGCCTGGTACAAAAGTAAAACTAGACTTTGAATGTTGGCCCAACACATTTTCACAGACTTAAATATTTTAGGACGTAATAAGGTAGAAGCTTCAGTTACAGATCTTTTAGTTAAAGATTTTTCTCATCAATACTTCAGGTGCCAGCACTAACATAGACTGCTCCATGTTCAGCCAGCATACTACAGGATTTTTTACCAAGTTAATTTCTATTTGCTTCCAAAGTAAACCAAGAACTCAGATAAAAAATAAATAAATAAATCAGAACTTGCAATTGTTAAATGGGATTTAAAAAGATCTTAGTCATGACTAACAGTGCTTTCCAAGTTATTTCTATGTTCAGGCTTCAGTCCTGACTTTCACTCAGGAAAAAAGAGTTGTCACGCAGAGTAGTGTAATTTGAATCATAAGTTCCTTGTACAATCCTGTTCAAGGAGATCGCACATTTTCACAGGTGAAGGTATATCTTTAAATGCAATAAAAATCTTTGACTAGGCAAGTATCATACATATTCAGAAGCCTCAGCTTAAACATTACATGTAATTGACGTTGCAAAAATCTGTTTCGACTGGCATGACATCAGAGATTGTCAGGTTGGGAAATTAAGGGGATGAGCTTCATACTTGCCAACTTGTACTGTTCAACTATGTTGAAAATTTGTCTTAACAAATCCCAGTAACACCACTCCTCCAATTCCATCATAATCTCTAGTAAAAGAAAGACTGATGGTTCACATCTGTCTACTATCTAAGAACAGGCAGCTATTGCTTAAGCTTTTCTCATTGTTTATAAGCCTGTTTCTTGCATTCTCTTCAAAGGCATCAGCTGGGGCACAAGATCACGGGAACAGGCATACTGCTAGTTGACATAATTGTATGATCTCCAACCCTTTTCCACCAAGGGGGAGAAAATTATGGGAACTTAAGAGGTTCTTCTTTAAGAAGAACTTCACAGCTTTGTGATATTCCTCATCAGTGTTTTATATATTTTTGATGAAGGTAGCAACAGAGAAGTTCCATTAAATTAGTGAAACCTCAGAGAAGCTGAGCAGAGCTGGCTCTCATTTCCTGTAGTTTCCATGAGAAGCTTCTGTGATATCAGGACTGAGGTTGAAGATGCATATACCAAGCCCAAAACACTACATGTCAAAACCAAACTCTACCACTGTCTCTCATACCCTGTTATCTAGTCCACAAGTATAACCAGTTTAACCAGAAATAAAAGCTTTTGTTTTTACCGTTAAACAATATTTGCAGAAATGACTGAAGTGTTTAGGATCTGGCACCCTGCTCCTCAACTTACTTCCACAAGGAGCCTAACCATGGCCTTCTCTTCATTTCTGTCTCCCACTAACATCTTGGCTCTACATTCTTCCCATCCCAGTCTACTAACTCATCTGTCCCTTTTCCCTGCTTGACACAGCTCTGCCAGTCCCTCACTGAGGTGCAGAGAGCTGAACATTTTTTTCTCTGACCCACCTGCTGCCCAGGGAAGCAGAGGGCAGGCAGAGGTGTGCCTCTATCACAGTGAGAAGCAGAGTACCTCAGGGGAGATGTTCTACTACCCTCTGAGATCTACCCCCAAAGGGCTAGGAGAAAAAGACACGTAAGTTAGTTTAACTGAGGGATATGGGAGGTTATGCATAGATTTAAGTATATATATATACTTAATATATATTATTAAGTATATTATATTATATTATATATATTATACTTAAACCAATGCTTTCTAATATATAAGAAATATATAATACATATATATATTATATATATAATATATAATATATATATATATATTAGAAATATATAATACATATATATATATTAGAAAGCATTGGTTTGATAACATTTGGCTTCTGCTATGCAGTAAACCAATGCTTTCTAATATATATATGTATTATATATTTCTAATATATATATATTAGAAAGCATTGGTTTACTGCATAGCAGAAGCCAAATGTTATCACTTCTTACATCGATATCCATGTAACCATTCTATACATCCTCAAAACTTAAACAGTATTCCTCATGCTATGGACATGGCTTACATACAAAAACAATTGCATATCAGTGCTTTAGAGTGAGTTTTTTCTGCAGAATTTGGCTAATACAGCCTGACCAGAAATGGTAGGAGGACAGAAAGTGTTCAAACCAGAAAACATTAAGCGGATGCCTGTTTGCAGTTTCTGCAATAAAGTTTCAGGTCCACAGGAGGTCCACTTACAGTGGCTTGAACTCTCAATTCCAAAATGAGCAGAAGAGGACTTAGTCACTTTGCCTTGCAGCCTGATCATGCAGTCACACTTGCAGCACCGGGTTACTAAGCAGGATGAATAGGGACAAGCAAATAATTTATTGGAGATCATTTCAGCCACTGAACTGAGACACAAGTAAGTAACCCTTGAAAATAATATTGATTTTTCAATACACCAGGTACAACAGATGAAAGAAGCCTAGCTACATTTAAGTTTGTGTTAAGTAATGTACTCTCTATATAATTATAGAATACTTGCTTGTAGTTATAATATTACATCAAAGTGCTTCTTTTAAGCATCTCCAGATCACTCAGGACAAATAGAAGTTTTTCTTTAAAGCTGCCAGAAGTCAGACTTTGGCTTTTACATTACTTTAAAACAGCTCTTTTAACATCAAAAGGTATAAGGTACAGTTCCCTAGGTTACATAATAAGGATTCAAAGCTACCTACAGTAATTTCTGCATCTACAACATCATGCAGCTAAGCTTAGATGCAGCACAGCAGCATGAGACACAATGCATCACTAAGTAGGAGCACCAGACTTGAGAATTTCATTGTTCAAGTGTTTATGAACATGGGAGAGAAATAAATAATAATAATAATGAAAAATCTCCACAGACACAAAACACGTTACTCCTTCTATCACAGAGTTAGGCATATCTCCAGACTACCATTACTACTTTATCTAATAACCAGTTGAATTGGCCAAATTTCCACAAAATCAACCAAGATTTCCAGGCAATCTAAAAGGAGTAAGCAAAAACCCGAATGTTTCTTTAACTGTAAGAATCAACTCAAAGGAGAACAGATAGCATTCTTTGCACCAGAGGCACCACCTTTGCACAAGGCTATCTAGAATCTTCCATCACTTCCTGTCATCTTAACATGATGATGTCAGCTCTTATTTAAGTCTTTCACCTGGGTCTTATCTCTGACAACTGATTCTTTACACCTGCATGCTGTTTCCCATGTTATTAAGAGACTACGTTGTTTCTCATTGACTACTTACTCAACAAGGGTAAAAGCATTAGAATGTGGCTAAAAGCAAACACAGACTCACTGACTGAGTACTTACTACTCATCTTATTTCCTTATTGTAATGATTTCTGTTACATATTCATGAAAAATTAGGAAGCAATAGCACAAGCAGTTTTATACAGCCAGTACATAAAGATGCCAAATGATTCAAATCTTTACTGAAGGAGAAAAAAACAAAACAAAAACAAAAACAAAAACACGGCAACAAAGACATCTGAAAAATCTTTGTCCTGGTTGGCACGCTATCAGTGCCAAATTTCAAAGCATGAAGAATTGCTTAAATTCCCAGCTGTTATAGCAGAAAAGCATATGAGACAAGCAGAAGATTAATAAAAGTTAGAATAAAAGAACATAAAAGAGAAAATGCAAAGTCAGAATGTGGTATGTGCCAATAAGAACAGAATTAGAGTAATAATTTGGAAAGGTTATAGGCCAGAGATAAAAGCCCGATAAATTCCCAGAAAACTAGATTACTGAGAAAGCTATTTGAAATTAAAAAGAAACATAAATCAAAACTGGGAGATGAATGACATTTGGATAATATTATTGGACAGATTAAATTAACTTTTATTTAGTAGAATAGTGTGGTAAGAAAAAGAGATATAATAACCATAAAGTATTTCTACAGCTATAAACAAAACTATTGATGAGCCCAATGTGAATTTCTTCCTTCACTTGAGCTCTTTATTATCTCTACAATGACAAGTTTTTGCCTTTTTTTTTTTTTTCTGCTCAGAAAACAGTTCAGAAATTACTCCAGTTTTGGTAGAAATGGCACTTATGCCTAGGTTGGCAGTGTTGAAATTGTTTGCCTAAGAGAATTCAACTGAATATGGAATTAATTTACTTTAGATTTACTTTGCATGAAACTCCAGTATATCTCCAGTCATATTTCTTAGCAGTCAGGTTTGCAGAAAGTGTGGTTTTGAATGAATTGTTGAGAATATGAATGATCAACAAATTTGGCTTTAACAACCATAAATATTTGCATCCCCAAACATTTTCATTGATTTATATTAAAACTGTATCATGTGATTTACAAGTTCAACCAATGCCAACCACATACTTCAGATTTTGAATACGAAATAACCATAACTGTTATTTGAACATTCAGTAGACTATAAATTATTTACAAATTTATTTTAAAGAATAAGCATATTAAAACTAATTGTAGAACATTCAGATATAATTCATAGACATAAAAAAAAACTAATTTGACTTTATTATTCCTTTCCTCCAACTTGTTCTGTTAGCTTTGGATACCATGTAGAAGTAATAGTGATGAGATTTACAAAATTGTTTTCTTCCTGTACAAATCAGAATGATGTCAAAATGCTATAGCTTTCTATTCACTTTTAATCTAATTGTTGATATGATGGCAAAAGGTCAGAACAATACTAGCTCTTAATGACCTTGTGATATATAACCTACACATAACTTCAGTGATCTCTCAGTACAGCATAGAGTATAATTGCCTACATCACATCCTGGGATCAAGAACTGACCACACTTGGTAGGCAGCCATGTAAGTAAGCTCATGCTCCATTGTTAAGAACAAAAAGGGGAGATTTTCCTAACTGCCTCATAAAAATGACATGGCTTGTCTGTCATGATACTTCTATGGTTATCATAAATGTATTAGAACAGTTCTTTACCATAATGGCTGTGTATAAGTATGTGCACGGAAGACTAGTACTGTGTTTATTTTGATTTTTATTATTAATTTTTGAGCTGCTGAAAGAATTTTGATTCCTTTGCAAATAATGAAAGAAAACATTTCTACCTAGAGAAATTTGGGGTCTTTCGTGAGGTTCAGTACAAACTGAGGTCACAGGAGCAGTCCTCTCCTGGGCGATGTCTGCCAGTGTCAGCTCAATGTCCGTTCCTTGCACCCAGGCAAGCAGAGGGCCTGTGCTTTTGTCAACTCTCCTCTGAGCTGGGCAAAGCAGGATGTTCCTCTTTTCCACATCCACTTTCCTCTATGCAGCCATTCTGTTCTGCCACCATGAGCAGATCTATCTATTTATCTGTCTACACACAATTATTAATATTTGCAGTTAATAAACAAGAGGTAAACTGATGATGGTTATAACCATGAAATGCAGTTTCAACACTAGACTATTGTGTGGTTCCTCCTTGATAGCAGTTGTCCACACAACAATATAGGTAGTACTATGGAACAGTTCACCATGGACATCCGTACCTTTACGGGAGGGGTAATGGGGACAAAGCAAAATACAACTGCTTATGAGGCTGATGCACAGTATGCAGATATTCCAAACTAACTCATTGTTTGCTGCAGAGTGAAGGCTCCAAGGATTATATAATAGAAAAAGTTAGAGTACAGTAATTCTGAATATATTTCAATATTTCTGCTTTAACAGGAAACATTTTCATTGACTAGCTCTTAATGTTGAAACACATTAATCAGGGAAGAAAACAACAACAACAAAACAAGTAAACAAGCAAAAAAAAAAAAAAAAACTACCTTTTTGTGGATCTCCTTTCACCTGGCTTTTTTCTTCATGAAATGATTCTTTTGGAATCTCATTAAGTCACATGAACAACTGCACTAAGTTGTTATGGCAACTAGCCTTTTAAGTTAAATTAATTTTGCCACAAGGTGTTATTAAGACCAGGTCAGGATGGACTTGAATAATAATAGCTTCTTATTGTTCAGAAAAAGTTATTCTATCTCAAACTTTATCACTGGGCTTTGCTTAAACCAACGATCCTTTTTATTAGTACATAACAATCATTAGAGCAAATGGAAAAAAAAATCTTTTAGTATAAATTCTTAATTTAGAGTTTCTAGTCAACAGATACATCTTTTATTAACAGGGATTCTATATTTGACGCTAAAGTAGTTTGTAGTCCGCTTACTAAAAGCAGAAAAGTTGAGTTTCCCAAACTGGCATAAATCTATAGCAACCCTGCTGGTTTCATTGTTAGTGTAAATGTATAAATGTTAAAAAGTCAAACTGCTGATACTTAAAGGAGGATTTTATTCTGTCATGTAAACAAATTCTTGCCCAGTTAAGTACCCTTGAGGTCAGATAGGTGGGGATGGCTACTTCTTTCTTTTGGCCTCAATTGTACCAGGGATATGACTTTCCTCTTGACATCACCTGGAAGGTTTCTTTAATAATTAATTAATTCATTAGAATGATAGAATCATTAAGGTTGGAAAAGACCTCCAAGATCATCTGGTCCAACCATCACCCTACTACCAATGTCACCCACTAAACCATGTCCCTAAGCACCAGGTCCAACCTTTCCTTGAACACCCCCAGGGATGGTGATGCCACCACCTCCTGTTCCAGGGCAACCTGTTCCAACGCCTGACTACTCTTTCTGAGAACAAATGTCTCCTAATATCTTGACTGCTAAAGCTCTTAATCCTGCCTCATCTGTTTCTGTGGCAAATTATAACTGTGGGTTTTAGTCTTTTAACTTCAGGACTAATGTTTCTTATAGGCTCCTGTTGAATATTTTTAGGTCTGTTGTTTTGGTGCTGAATTGTGTAGATAAGCCTGAGGAAGATGCTTCTAAAGTAGAGAATTACTACAGTTATTTTTCTCAATTCCAGGGAAGTGGACTCTGAGAATACATGGATCTTTCCAGTAAAATGTTTGCATCCTAGCTGATGATAGAAACATGCCTAATATCCAAGTTAGTATTTTATCAATGGAAATACTTATGAATCTGATTTTCAACTAGGATGTTAGCATAAATTTACTGACTATTTTTGATGAAAACTAACTTTGAGGGCCTTAGCTTAATTTCAAAGTTTATATGTATGTGTTGTTGTGTTTTTTGTTTGTTTTTTTTTTTTTTCTATATTACATGAAACTAAACATAAAAAGAAATATTTATTTTTTTTTCTTAAAGAAAACATCAACTTCCTGTTGGTGTAGGAGAAAAGTGAAACATCTGAATAAATGATCAGCTTGATGGGTTTCATTTCATTTGAACAAACGAATGTTCAGTAATGAAGTTGTTATAAATTCTGAGAAAATTTAGCTTTATAAGATTTATTTATGGGGTCAATAAAAGGCAAGTAAACAGCTCTGGGTGCGCAGGGAGTCTGGGCTCCTCTAACACACACACAAGTTACATCAGGTGGCTGGTTTTTATGCTCCTAGGCTAATACATATTCATTACTACTTCTAGAAAAAGCAGGGTTATTATAATTAGTTCCCAGAATCTGAACCTTCCTACTGGCACAAGCGTATCAGTCTCTGGTGGTCCCTCTGGGGGTCTCTCATGCTGAAGGCTCATAGTGTTCTTCCCCGGCTTTTTCCTTGTCATTCTCCTTTGTTCATCTTGGCCGGATGTCAGAGACTTGTGCAGCATCCCATGCAAGCGTTGTCTTTTAGTCGTCCTTCAGCTTTCCCCTTCTCCTTAATCTCTTGGCTGGATATCAGAGACTTGCATAGTGTCCCATGCAATAGTCACAATAGTTAGCAGTTATTCTGACCCCGCCCCCAGATATCAAAGACTCATGGTTTACCCTTCAAGCCCTCTATTGACACGAATTGCTGAAACATTCCTTACAAAGTTTACACACTTGAGAAGGAATCCTGACATAAGGTAACCAGATTGCTGCAATAGAAGTGACTGTAGGTCTCATCCAACTCTCATTAAAATCAGTGAAAAATGTCCAGATGGAAGTTGGATCAGACCCCACTGATATAAATCTAAACTTAAGTTAATGGGTTTACTTTGGATTTACACGGTTAAAAGTGAGACTAAAATTTTGTGCCCAGCATTTAATCACCATGGAAGAAGGCAGGCAGTGATGTTTTGCCTTAGGTGGAGTTTTGCTGCATAGCAGTGATTCACAGGAATCCC